TTCCCTCTTTCTTTCCTTCCTTTCTCTCTGTCTTTTTCTTTTCCTTTTTTCGTCTTTTTACTTTCCTTTCCCTCTCTCCTTTTTCTTCCTTTCCTTTCTTCTTCTCTCTTCCTCCTTTCCTTTCTCTCTCTTTCCTTTTCCTCCTCTCCTCTCTCCATTCTTTTCCTTCTTCTCTATTTCCTTTCCCTTCCCTTCCCATCCACTAAATATCAGCCCTGCAGCCAGGCTTACATCATCCCTGCCGACCTCTGCCCCTTCTCCTAAAATGAACTTCCTTCCTTCGAAATCCTTTCATCTTGGAATCCTGGCTTTGGTGGGCTTGGCAGTGTGTGGGAAACTGGTTAATATCTTCCCTTTGTACCATGAAAAGTTCTTTGGCAGTTGTCATCGACCCAGCCTGTACCTCCAACTATAAAACCAAGGCGAAACATGCCCGCTTTTTCCAGGCTTGCTTTCGGCAAGGAAAAACTAGCCAACATGGCTTGCAAACTGTGGTTTAGGACAGGAATGGACGCTTCTTCCAGAAGCCACCGCTTAGCCTGACATGGCACTCAAGGACTTGTCTTGGAACAGCGAGATAAAAATGTAATCAATTTGCACTGTCACTGGGCGGGAATTTCTTATTTTAAAGCTCTATTTTTAATGCTCCGGGTTTGTTTTTAGGCGAGCCGGCTCCCTTAAGGGTGTCTTAATATATATATATTTTAAAGGAACAATTAGAAAAGGAAACACAACAAGTCAGCCTCTCCCTTCAAACCAGGCATTTTCCACCAGCGTCCCAACTTAGAAGCTGCTTTTCCCAAACTTGTGAAGCTTGGGCTTGTTGATCCTGGTTATTTTAAGGGGGATTTCACTGAGTGAGAAACCTAGACAAGGAAGCCAGGTTAGGGGATGTCCCTGTTTATGAGACATGATATCATCGACCTAACCAAGCTTGGTCAATTTGCTTTGGTGAATACTTGGTGAATAATCTAAAATTTCCTAAGAGTAAGAACAACCAACTAGCGGAACAGAAGTTGCCTTCAGAAGTTGTGGGAGCTTCGTCCCTGGAGGCTCTCAAGAAGAGACTGGACTGCCATTTGTCAGAAATGGTGTAGGGTCTCCTGCTTGAGCAGGGGTTGGACTAGATGACCTCCAAGGTCCTTCCAACTGTGTTTATTTTATTCTGTTCTACTCTATCCTACCCTATCCTATTCTACATTCTATTCTATTTTCTTCTCTCTTCTGTTCTCTTCTATTTTATTCTATTCTACTTTCTCTTCTCTTTTCTCTTCTATTATATTCTCTTCTCTATTCTCTTTTATTTCTTTTCTCTTTCTTCTACTGTCTCTTCTCTTTTCTCTTCTCTATTTGCTTCTATTTTCTCTTCCGTTTTCTATTTTATTCTCCTCTTTTCTTTTCTTCTCTTCTATTTTGTTCTATTCTACTTTCTTTTCTCTTCTATTTTCTATTTTAATCTCTCTTTACTTCTCTCTTCTGTTCTATTTTATCCTGTTCTATTTTATTCTATTCTACTTTCTCTTCCACTTTCTCTTCTCTTCTATTTTCTCTTCTAATTTCTATTTTAATCTCTCTTCTCTTTTCTTCTCTCTTCTCTTCTGTTCTATTCTATTCTACTTTCTCTTTTCTCTTCTCTTCTATCCTATCCTATCCTAAATTGGAAGAGGAGGAACAGAAGTTATGTTTAACAATCCCTGGTGCCAAGGGCAGTGCTTGGACGAGAGAAATATTTTGTCAGAAATTGGGGTATCCATCTGTTACTTCTTCGCTTGGTTGAAGCAAAGCCCCCGTGAAAAAGAAACCAGTGCAGATACGAGACGCGTACAGAAGGGCCCCCCAAAAGATGCTTCTAAAATTACAGCCATGGAGGTTTGGAAGACGAAAAGGAGAAAATGTGATGGGTTTTTTTGGCACAGAAAGGATTTTTGGGAAGATGCCAATGCATCATCGCTCTGATGGGTGCACATCACTTCCAGCTCCGAAATGCCTTTTTGTTTTGTTGTCGTAACCGTTGCATCCAGTTTGTTTCCAAAACTGCTAAATTGCATCTTATGTGCAACCCACATTGATAACCCCACCCCACCCCCCAAAAAATCCCCTCCCATTCCTCCTGTCCCTTCATTATTTTTTAAAATTTCTTTTAAAAATAGTCCGGCCTGGTTAGGATCCTAGCAAGTTTGCAACCAGCTTTCTTAAACCAGCTTCCTTCTTTGTTAAAAGTTTGAAACCATCATGGCAAAGAGGGCGTATCAAACTGTTCACGACATTTCAGGAAACAATTCCTTGCTTCAGCAGACCAAACCTCTGACCTCTGGGACAAGCCAGTTGTGTCTACAGGTAGTCCTCAGATTACAACCGTTTGTTTAGTGACTTCTCTAAGTTACGATGGCACTGAAAAAAGCGACTTATGGCCGTTTTTTACGTCCATCGCTATGGTCACTTTGATCCAAATTCAGATACAAAACTCACTTAAAACCTGCCCCGTTTAGCAACAGGAATTTTGGGCTCAATTATTGATCGTAAGTCGAGGACCACCAGTATTTGACGTTTTTCTGCTTTGCTTTTGTGACACTTAAGTTTTTTTTTAAAAAAAAAAAAAGTTTTGACTTGTGCTTTTTGAGTTTATTTTCTTGGTGGCAAATGAGAGAGAAACACCTCATTTGCAAATAATTATTCTGCAGCTTCCCTTAAAAGTCCACTCTTTTTAAGATCTGGAAATGGCCTCGAAGGAAAACAACAAATGTAAAAATAGAAAAAAAAAATAAAACTTTGCTGGCATTTAAAAACCAAAAAAAAATAAATAAAATTGACAGCTCAAAGGAAACCCAGTGGAAATATCTCCTCTAAAAAATATCTTTGCAGAAAACCGTCTTCCCTCCCACGCTGGAAAATCTGAATGCAAATTCTTTTGAAAGAAACAACAACAATGGGATGGGGAAGAGGAAAAAAAATAGCCCCCACCCAAAAAGAAAAGCCCTGAGAAATTCTTATGCCCACCTGCTTTAGAGAAATTCGTTGAAGGTTTCCTTAGAAGAATGACGCACCAGTGCATCGAGAAATAAATAGATATTTTTTCTCTCTCCCTGTTTCTTATCATTGAAGAATCTACAGCACAGAAGATTTGGCACTAAACCAGGAACGTCCAACTTCAGCGACTTTTAAAGACTTGTGGACTTCAGGTCTTCAGAGTTGCCAAGGTTGGACACCCCTGTGCTAAACAGAAAAACTATTAATACTTGGAAGTTGCCAGATTGGAAAAAGAGCCTCTCCATCTGGGGACACTCTACCTTTAAACACCAAACAGCTTGCCTTGATGCCCGTCTGGTGGGCTTCTGCAGGTGTCTCCTAGCTCCAGAAGATGCCAACTTCAATCCGTTCTCGCCCACCTAACTTTTCTCCTCCCTCGTTCCTGCAAAAAGCCGGTGTGGCTTAGCCTGAGAAGATTTTCCTCCTTTTTTTTTTCAGTATATATTTTAATTTTATTCATAAATATTTTGAATACAGTGTATTGTCAGGGCATATCGTTTACAAAAAAGCAAAAGAAAATCCAAGCAGAAGTATCAACATACATTCTAATAACAATAATAATAGTATAACAAAACAGTTTGAACTAAATTTCTTCTTGTATTAGCTTATTTAGATTTCTGTTAATTATATCAACATGCTTATAATGACCAACCCTCTGTATTTAATTCATATGTAACAGTTGTCTTTCTTCCTCTAATTTCTACCTCTTCTCTCTTAACCGCGTGTAAAATTTGTTCCATGTTAAGTAATATTTGGTGTGTTCTTTGTCC